GCGGTGGGGCAGCGCGCCGCGCTGCTTGAGGGCGCGGATGATCCACCGGAAGTCGAACTCGTTCATCACGACGTCGTGCCAGCGCGGCCCCGCCTTCAAGGAGCTCGCCTTGCGCGTTTCCCTCAGGTGGAGGTGGTAGCCCTCGAGCGGGGACGACGTGCGGAGGCAGCGGTAGACGACGAAGCCCGTCGCGAGCTTCTTCTTGGGCACGTAGAGCTCGACGTCCGGGTGGTCCGACAGGTAGCCCTTGCGCACGTAGCGCATCTCGTTGTCGAACCGCTTCTTGTGGCCCGCGCGGAAGAAGGCCTGGCCCGTCTCGGCGTCCTTCAGGCCCTTGAAGAAGTCGTAGACCTTGGTGAGGTCGCGCTCGAGCACGTCGGGCTCGGGGATGAACCGTCGAACCATTCGTCGCACGTACCGCCGCGGGATCTTCTTGATCTGGTCCTCGGCCATGCCGCGGCGCCGCAGGTGCGCGTTGAGGCGGTTCAACTCGCCTTCCTTGATCTTGTACACCGCGTCCGAGGTCGCAGTGCAAAAGTACTTGTAGAGGGTCGAGTTCTTGGACACGGCGAGCAAAAACCAGTTCGCCATCCAGTGGCGAGGGTCGTACTTGATGCGTAGCCCTCGGAGCCGGCGGAGCCGTTGGCGAAGCTGCTCCTCCGCGGGCGCGCCGTCGGCCGGTTCGAGCGTCGCGGCGGGCGTCGCGGACGAGCGCCCGCGCCGTGAGATCACGAGGTGCCGGTCGACGCACTCGTCGCCGACGCTCTCGCTGTTGAGGCCCAGGTCGCGAGCGAGCTCGTGGATGTCGCGCCGGACGCTCTTGTCGAGGAACGTCGGGAGCTCCAGCGACTCCGCGACGTTCGAGCCCTCGTACTCGACGACGAGCTTCGTCGCCGCGGCGAGCACGGAGTCGGGCGGCGCCTCCTGCTCGACGTCGTCGTTGGGCAGGTCGCCGACGTCGTCCGCGTCGTCGTCCGCGCCGTCGTCCTCGCCGTCGTCCGCGCCGTCGTCCGCCGCGCCGTCGTCCCCGCCGTCGAGCTCCGCGGCGCCGTCGGCGAGGACACGACCCTCGGCGTCGCCATCTAGCTCGGCGTCGCCGTCCGCTTCGGCATCGCCGTCGTCCTGGGCCGCGGCTCGGTCGCGCGGCGCGACCCAAACCCAGCCCCGGAGCTTCGGGTCCAAGAGCGCCGCGTGGACCATGAACGTCGCGGCGGCGTCGTTCGCCGCGTACTGCTGCGCGTCCTGGTCCAGCGGCCACTCGTCCCATCGCCCGTAGCGGCCGCCGCCGCCGAGCTCCTTGTCGAGCGTCCGGTTGAGGAGCTCCATCACCAAGTCCGCGAGGGACCAGCGGCGCTTCTGGCTCTTCAGCGTGTCGTTCGCAAGGTCGGAGAGCTCGATGATCTCGCCCTTGACCTCCACGCCCTCGTACTGCTTCGTCAGGCGCGTGATGTCGCCCTGGAAGTTGACGCCGATCTTCTCGATGCCCTCGTTCCGGAGGATGGCCGCGAGCCCCGCGGGACCGAGTCG